AGTCTGACCAACATAACTGGCAACTCTATCAAACCTTTAAGGAGGAAGTAATACCAGCTCTACACCAAAAATAAGAGGAGCAAACCCATCCTGACTCAGGTATGAAGACAGCATTAGTCTGATAGCAAAACCAGACCAAGACATTACAAGAATAAAAAACTATAAACCATTATCTTTCACAAACATGGGCCCGAAATCCTTAACACAATGTTAACAATTCAAGAACAGCAATAAATATACTAGTGAGCAAGTGGATTCTATCCCAAAGTTGACTCAAGATGCTCACATCAGTCACACAACAGAAACATCAACAGGCTAGACAAACCACATGGTCATCTCAGTAGAAGAGGCATCTAACAAAATCCAGTGGTCATTCATGACAAAACTCAGCAAACCAGGAAGAGAAGGAAACCCCCTTTCCCTGGTAAAGGACACCTACAAGAACCTGTAGTTGACATCAGTTCTCATTGGTAAAAAGACTTCTCTAAAACCTGGAGCAAGTTGAGCGTATCTGATTGTACCAACATCCTGCCAGAGGTCCTCATGGTGCAGGAGCCAAGAAGAGGAAGTGGATGCTTGTGTATGGGCAGGGGATGGTACTGTCTCCATTCTCAGATAACATCCGTGTGTGCGTGGAAAATCCCACCTCTGCACAATGCTACTAGGATGAGTTTAGTAAGTTTGTAGGATACAGAGTCATTATGCAAAAATGAGAAATAATTGGAAATTGAAATTTACCATCAATGTCATTTACATTAGCATCAAAAGACAGAAATACTTAGATATAATCTAAAAACCATCTGTATGCTGAAAATTACAATACACTGATGATGGAAATTAGAAACAATCTGAATGATCCTGGGTTGGAAGACTCAGTAACACAAAGGTGTTAATTCTCCCTAAGTTGCTGTTTAGGTCAGTGCAGTCCCAATCAAAGTCTCACTATAGCTTTTTGGTAAAAATTGGCGAGCTTATTATAAAATTTATGGGGTACAAGCAAGGAAGCTAAAACAACCAAAAGAATCTTAAAATAGTAGAACAAAAGGCTCACACTATCCAATTTCAAGACTCACTCTAAGGTTAAAGTAATAGAGACAAGTATGGAATTGGGGAGAGGATAGGCACACAGATCAATAGAGAGCCCAGAAATAGATCCACACAAATTTGTTCAATTGATTTTCAACAAAAGTGCGAAGACAGTCCAATCCATTGGAGAAAGTTTTCAACAAGTGGTGCTATATACCAAAAAAAAAAAAAAAAAGGAACTTTGATCTGTACTTCATTCCTTTAACTCAATGAATTGTAGCCCTAAATACAAAACCTAGAACCATCAAACTTCTAGGAGATTGAAGAAAATCTTCCTGACTTTGGATTAGGCAAGAACTACCTTAATAAGATACAAAAGGCTTGGAACACGCCTGTAATCCCAGCTACTTGGGAGGTGAAGAAAGGAAGGTGTCAGTTCAAGACCAGCCCAGGCAAAGTTAGTATGAGACCCTATCTGAAAACTTAAAGTAAAAAGGGACTGGGGTAGCTGGGCACCAGCAGCTCATGTCTGTAATCCTAGCTACTCGGGAGGCAGAGATCAGGAAGATCACAGTTTGAAGCCAGCCCAGGCAAATAGTTCCAAGAGACCCTATCTTGAAAAAACCCTTCACAAAAAAGGACTGATGGAGTGGCTCAAGGTGAAGGCCCTGAGGTCAAGCCCCAATACCTCAAAAAGAAAAAAAACAGAGTCTAGGAGAGTGACTCAAGTGGTAGGGAGCTTGCATAGGAAGTGCAAGACCCTGAGTTCAACCCCAGTGCTTAAAAAAATACAGAAGACCAAGCCATACAAAAAAAGAAAAAATGACAAATTGGACCTCACTGAAATTAAAAACTGACCCTACAGTTTTGCCTGTTCTAGAATGCTGCATAAATGGACCACACAGTGTGCTATTAAGAAAATGAAAAGGCCAGCCACAGAGTGAAAGAAAGCTGTAAGACATAGATCTAAGTAAGATCTTGTATCTTACCACACAGAGAGCTCTCAGAATTCCCTAACAGGGTTAAAAAAGCAACCCAACTGTAAAAAAAAAAAAAAAAAGATTTACACAGACACTTCACCAAGAAAGATGTAAGTTTTCAAATGAGCATAGGAAAATATGCTCACTGTTCAGGTTAAGGTTATCCATTACTAGGGAAGCACAGATCACCGTGGTGAGACACAACTGCACATCTATGGAGTGGGAAATCTGAAGATCTGTTGGCTCTGAGTGCTAGCAAAGGATGGGGAGCTGCCAAAGTTGTGCAAATGCAGGTCTTGCAGACACTTTGGGAAAGTTTGGCTGTTTCCTGTAAAGTTAGATGTATGTGTGGAACACACCCAGCAGTGCTGCCTCTGTATATCCATCTAGAGAAAAGAAATGCATGAAGAGCCCTGGGTGTGGATGTTTACAGTGGCACAAAAGAATCACAAGTATCCTGTGCTAAGAAGACCCCACTGACAGGCTCCACATTTGTGCTCCATTGTGCAGCATTCCAGAGCAGGCAAAACTGCAGGACCAGTGATTGGGAGGACTTGACAAGAGGGGCCCAGAAACACGTCGAGGGTAGAGAGGCAGGGCTGTTCCATCCTGATCGCTGGCAGTCGTGTGGCTGTAAGCATTTGTCGAAACACTTGTAAACTGCCTAAAGAGGGTGAGACTTGCTAGGCATAAATTGTATCTCAATCAACCTGACTGTCTCCCTCTCATGCGAAGTCATACTTAAGAAAAAAGTGTACTTGATGTTAGTGTCCTTGTTTGGGTATCAGTACCTTTCTGAGTCCTGTTTGATGCCACTCCAGAGCTCCTGGTCCATGCAGCCTGCTGATGGCGTGACTCCAGTACTTCGTCAGGAGATGCTCAGGCAGCGCAGTCCTGTCAGCACATTGCCTGCACGCTGACTGCCTCTCTTCCTGGAGAGAGGTCTTGTTGGGAGGGGGCTGTTAAAGGATGGGAAATTACCATAAGTTTTCTGGTGAGAAGCACTTAGCAGAGCACTTGTTCTCACCTCTTGTGAAACTCACTTTGTCTAGCGAGTACAAAGCAAGAGATCTCGGTGCCTGGGAATCGAGCATCAGTAACAGACTTTTCTTTGGTTTGCTCTCCCCTTTTGCCTTTGCCCAAGCCTTTTTCAGTCTTGATGGTCATGTTCCTGTTTTGAATTTTATCCCACACACCTTGGACCTTTTTAAATACCAAGGGCCTGAAAATAAGACCTAGTCCCAAGAGTCACAGAGTCTCCATACAAGACCCTACTCCATGTGAAATGCCCCCAATTGCTGCTCCCCATAAGCCTCCTGGGGACCCCTCAATATTCCTTTGTGCCCAAGCCCCAAGCTTTTCTTTGCCACTGGAAAGAAGCTGAGCTTCATTGACTTTCAGGCGCCGTGCCTCTGTGGGAGGCTTCGGAACTGTAATTGGTTTCTGTCTGAGAGAAGCCGAGAGGTGCAGAAATCTAGCGTGCCTTGATGCTGATCATGTAACACTATTACACCGCCCACAGCTTCCGGGAGCCTCGCGGAGGGAGGCGCAGAGAGGCCAGACCCGGACTCTTGTTTACCAAAAAGCTTTTATTCAGCCCAAAGAGAAATGGGTGGGAGGAAGAGAAGATAGAGTGATTAAAAGCCATCATGAAGGGAAAATAATCTGCTGATCAGTTTGATGTGGCCTTCTGTCCTGAGGTCCTTGGTCACATTCCCCAGCAGCTCACACCTGCCACTTTCTTGTGACCCTCCCTTCCTCCTCCGACATCCACTGTCACCCCTGCCTCCCACTGCACCACCCTCCCTCCTTTCCTGTGAGCCTGCTGGTCTCAGCCGGCAGTCCTCAGGATGGACGCATAGGGTCATTTCTTAGGGTTCCAGTGCCAACCCTCTCACGAGCACAGCAGGGTCAGTTCTGAGAGCTGAGCATAAGGGCCAGCAAGCCTCTGCTGTGATCCAGAGTCCTGGGCTCTCAGGTCTCTAGACACAGCACAAGTGCCAGACTGTCTGACACCATAGGCTTCCTGCATGCCTGCACCTCCCCAGGCACCTTCCGCTGGTGCTTGCTGTCATCATCTTTGTTGTCTTTGGAGCCAAGGTGCTGACACCTCCCCAAGTCCTCCCCTCATATCTGGAGCTGCAGGCTCAGGGCAGGGCCACAGAGACTGAGAAGAGGTATGGAATTCTGCCCCTTGTGTCCCTCCCGCTCCCTGCTCAAGGCACCTTTCAGACCTCTTCCAGTTGACTCCCAAAGAAACCCAAGTTTCATTAAGGTGCAATATCTCCCTTCCTGCACCAGCTTCGGGTCTCTTTCTCAGGGTTTTTTCTTATTATTGCTCTACACTATTGGTCATTTGTCATTTCTTTCCTAATAAGCTCTGGATTGTCATAAAATGAAACCAGTTATTATGAACCCACAGTCTGTCCCATTGCTATTGGGGGGCTGTTTCTAAACCAATAAGCATTAAGAGGGAGGTACTTGACACCTTTTCCCATTGTGTCTAGGCCTGGGTGTCCTCCTTTGGCCACTATTGTTGCTTTTTTGTCCGGGTATGTTTTTTAAGAAAAAGAAAAGAGCATAGCAATAAAAGGCTGAGAAACAAATGCAGCCATCTGTGCGGGCAGGATAAGGACAGAGACACAGAAAACATTCTGTGAATGTGTTTGTCAGAGAGCCTCCCAGAGCCCACCCGAAGCTCTGTGTAGATTGTCTCATTTCTCAGCCATACTCAATGCATTCTTTATCGTTGGGGGTGGGGGCTTGTTGTGTTTTTTTCCTGCAGGATTGGGGTTTGTACTCAGGGCCTTGCACTTGCAAAGCAGGTGCTCTGCAGTCTGTTTTGTTCTAGTTATTTTTGCAGATCAGGTCTCATAAACTGTTTGTCCAGACCGGCCTCAAACCTCAGTCCTCCTGATCTCTGCCTCCCAAGTAGCTAGAATTACAGGTGTGAGCCACCAATGCATGGCTTCCTTAGGCTTTTTCTGTCAGAGGAAATGGCTTTTTAAATGACGAACAAGGGCTCCCTTTGGCCTTTGTGTTGTCATCCTGACTGACCCCAAGGCTGGTCATGGAAGCTGCTCCATCCACACAACCAGCCAGGAGGAAGTCGGGTTTTATCTTCTTTATTTAATTTCTTCCATTCTTTAAGACTTTACAACTAACTTAGTCTTAGTTTTCTAGCAGAGAATCAGAGTCAGTCAAATTTACCTACAGGGCATAAGAGGAAGGAAATAACCCTGTCTTTAATACAAACAGGTGCAATTGTCAAAGCTGGTACTGTGGCTTCTGCCTGCCTTGTGGGGGTCTGGGAGGCACTTCCCACTCATATCCCATACCTGTCAGCCTCACTCACAGGCCATTTGGTGGAGGGTGTCCTCAGGCCTAGCCTATGAACTCTGCAACTGTCAGAAGCTCACGGGTCAGCCACAAACTCCACTCTGCCTGCCAGTGGGCATCAGTAAGGGTCAGACTAAATGACCCAGGCCTCCAACATCTGAGGAAGAAGAGCCTTTTATCTAGGAAGTGACTTTTCTGGATGCTGAGTGTAATTAACTGTTTTCTGTCATTGAAGATCCCTGAAGAGCACGACCTGGAGAGTCAGATCCGCAAGGAGCGGGAGTGGCGGTTCCTACGGAACACCCGCGTCAGGAAGCAGGCACAGCAGGTCATCCAGAAGGGTAAGGACGGCGCTCCTGGGGCTCTCCACAGCGGGCAAGCACCTGCCAAACATATGTGCAACCCCAGGGCACTGTGCGTCCTCCCAGACAAGGACATCAAGCTGGCAGAGATGAAGCTTGGCTGTGAGATTGTGCACCCCCTCACGGAGAGCTAATGCAACTTAGTTTCATGAAACAGGTTTGGAAGCTGGGTCTGCCCCACATAGTTGCACCGCTGAAGGCCACCTTGGCTAGCATTTCTGGTCAGAATTGAGCTAAGCATTCAAGCAGCAAAAACCAGTGTTCTAGACAAAAAAGAGAGAGAATAATCTTCCTTTTCAGGTTGAACAAGTGGCTCAAGCAGTAGCGCACCTGCCTCACAAGCATGAGACCCTGAGTTCAAACCCCAGTACCACCAAAAAAAAAACATTCCCTCTTCCAGTCTTTGTGGAAAAAAGAGATATATTTATTAAAAACACACAAAGGAGGAGCCAGTGACGTGTGGGAAAGGTCAGCAGCTGAGATAAGGAGATGCAGATGAATTCATCACCAAGCCTATAGCAGCAGAGCCACACCCTCGGGATTCAGGTGGAGCTCTGCTTTACTATCTGACAGCCAGCCGTGTGCAGGGAGATGTATAAACAGAGGTGGGAAAACAATGCAAAACCAAAATTAACTGGAGAAGTACCTGTCAGTCCCAGGAACAGGGCATGGCTAAGCCCCTGTTGGTTTTCTTCAGGTCCCTAACCCACCAGTCAGCTTCCCCTCCCAAAGACATACATGACCTTGGCTGTCACTGTCATGTACTGATATTTGCGTACATATGAATGCATATAGTGATTGGTTTTTTTTTGTTTTTTTTTTTTTTTTTTTTGTGGCACTGGGGATGGAACCCAGGGCCTTGTGCATCTTAGGCAAGTGTTCACTTCTGAGCCAAACCCCAGCCCTCCCTTTATCTTTCAGTGCTTGAAATTATGCTTACTGTTTTGGTGCCTCTTAAAAAAAAAAAAAACATAATTGAGAATGAAGGTGCCTCCAGGCTAACTCCACACTATAGCCATTTCAAACCAGGGGCCATTCGCCTCTTACTAGCAAAGCCCTCCTGTCACAGAGTGGTTCTCCCTCCTCACTTGCATTTTAAGAAAGAGGAGCCAGAGGACAGGGGGTGGCAACAGAGCAACTCCTGCTTCACCAATACCAAGCAGTGTTGACTGCCCCAAGGTTGTTGCCCCTCAGTGCTGACAAACAGCACAGGACACAGGCAAGGGGAGAGGAACTGAGCTCAGAGTTACCCATAGCAGAGCAACCTTACGCCTAACAGTAGACTGTTCTTCTACCACACACCAGGCCCATCACTCCCCACAGGAAGACACACAGACCCCAGGTTCTCCAGGCCAGAAGCACAGCCAAGCAGCTGCAAGAGGCCAGGAGACTTTCCCTGTCCATCCAGGTTCCCAAAACATCCTCCTGGGCACCCAGAGGCTGTGCAGAGGGTGGAGGCTAGGGTAGCACTCCACTGCTGGGTGCTTCAGTGGAGGAACAGCATGTGTGCCTGCTACTGCACAGCTTCTCCAGGAACCCTTGCTACCAAGTGTGCCTGAATACCTCTTGATGGCATCTTTAGTGTCTTTGTGTTTCTTTCTCAAGCAAGCTCTTACAAAACCCTGACAATGTATTCCCTGGGACCTGGTAAGGAAAACACACCCCCTCTCCTGTTTACTTGGCCATACTGTCCTTCAGTCATGTGACTTCCTGGCTAACCTTTGTAGACTGGGAGACTAGACTCAGACCCCAACTGAGTCATGAGTAGTGTTGGCTGCACCCATGTTTCAGCCTTGAGTCAGAAGCCCAGACAGGGCCATCTGCAGACCTTAGTCCTCATATACTGTCCATGGTCTCCCCTCAGTTGTTGACTTGAGGAGTATAGATTGAACCCTTGCTAAGCCTCCAGGCCTATACCAGGAGCTCTGGGGGCTCCAGGCAAAGGTAGAGACCCTGCAGCTGGGGACACACCCCAAGGACACACTGGGCTAATGTCCCCCTCATTCCTCAATGTGTGCTTTCAGCCCCTCTCTTTGACCCTGCCTTTCTCTCTGTCTCCTTAGTGTCTCTCTTGGTCCCCAAATACAGGTGTTGATGTGGCCTTCAAAAAATGTATTGTCAGTGTTGCTGTAGCTGAAAAGTGGCCACTGACTCCATCAGTGTGTTTCTTTTGCAGGCATAACCAGATTGGATGACCAGATTTTTCTGAACAGGAACCCCGGCGTCCCCTCTGTGGTTAAATTTCACCCCTTCACACCGTGCATAGCTGTGGCCGACAAGGATAGCATCTGGTAGGCATGGCTTTCTTCAGTCTCCCCACCCAATAAAGTGGCACTGATTTAAATGTGGCTGCCTACAAGGACCTTCCTTCACTGGGGAACCCATTGCCCTTCTCCCTCCATCACACCTCTTCCTCGCTAAGTGGCTGGGAGTCTCTTCTTGCCTCCTCTGTGCCCGGCTCTGTCCCATGCTGCACCCATTCTGGCCATGTTACAGAAGGATGGTCGAGAGTTGTGACCAAAGGTCACGTCTCTGACAGGCTGGTATGAAAGGGTCCTTGCTCATTACCTCCTCTGCAGAAGCAAGCGTGTGACAGAAAGACACCAGCTGCCCTCAAGAAGAACTGAGTTTAATTTATGCCAAGTCTTGCCCTTGTGTAATGGAGAAAGCACCCACTTTGTGGGGGACTTTCCTATAGCTTATAAAATACCTGTACTCCTCACCTCTGTTTCTTCTCCCTCTCTCTCAAGATCCTGGTTAAAAAAAAAACCTTACCAGCATATATAAAATATATATATTAACATAAAACATTTATGAAACATAAAAGTTAACCTCATTTTGGCAGTGCTTGGACTTGAACTTGGGGCCTCATGCTTGTTAGTCAGGCTGCTCTACCACTTGAGTTATGTCCCCAGCCTCCATCTTAGCATGTCAAAAGTCATGGTCAGTGATACTGAGCACATTCACACTCTGTGCAGCCAGCCCAGCTGTCCATCTCCAGAACCTTCTCATCTTCCCACACTGAAACTCTGCACCATCACACATGTAATTCCCCCCTCCCCTCCAGCCCCTAGTAGCCCCCACTTCACCTTCCATCTCTGAATTTGACTGCTCTAGGATCTCCTATAAGAGGACTTGTGCTGTGCTTTTGTGTCTGGCCTGTGTCACATAGCATGTCTTAAGGCTCATTCATGTCACAGCATTTGTCAGGACGTCATTCCATCATGTGGGTAGACCAGCTTTTGTTTATCCACTCATTTGTCATTGGGCACTTGGTTGCTTCCACCTTTTAGCTGCTGTGAAGTGTTGCTGTGAACCTGGGTATACTAATATCTGTCCCTGCTTCCAGTTCTCTTGGGTATATCCCCAAAAGCTCAAGTGTGGGTCACCTGATAATTCTTTGCTTGCTGTCTGTGCAGTAGCTATGCCGCAGCATAGCACCAGTGCTCAAGCAGAGGTTCCAGGGACCCAGATCCTCACCCACGCTTGCTATTTCCTGCTTTGGGTGGTAGCCGTCACTACAGTTAAGGGTTACATTTTCTAATGACTAGCCTCATTCCTCCCTTATTCCCTCAAGCTTTTGGGACTGGGAGAAAGGGGAGAAGCTGGACTATTTCCACAATGGAAACCCTCGGTATACCAGGGTCACTGCCATGGAGTACCTGAACGGCCAGGACTGCTCCCTTCTGCTGACGGCCACAGGTGAGTGGGCCTGGCTGGCCCGACCTGGGCCCAGACGCAGAGCAGAGTGAGGTCTCGAGAATCATGAGACTGCTCACGAGGGTTGCTGTCGTTCAGGAGCAGGGAGCTTGTGAGGAAAGGGGCGTGGACACAGAGGCAGGCGCACATGGGTGGTATTGTCAGTCAGGATCTGGGACTGTGCCTTTTCACCTTGGAACCCTGGGCCTTCCATGATCAGGAAATGCTTTGTCAGCCCCTGTCCTCCTAACCTTTGTGGGGTCCTGGGTGAGCCACAGGTGACACATGAAAACAAGGGAAGATGCCCCAAGCTGCAACACTTGTGGGGCATGCACAACCAGCAGGCTCTGGTACCACCAGCTCATTCTCTGACCACCATGCTGGGCCTCAGATACGTGTCCTTCCCTTCCGTCCTCCTGCCAGCGGAGCTCCCGCTTCCTGAAGGGCAGCCTGTGAAGGCGCTTCAACGAAGCACTGGGTCTCACTCTGGTTTCTTCATTTACTTGGTTTTCTTTTCTTCATTCTGCACTTTTTTTTTTTTGGTGGACTTGGATTTGAACTCAGGGCTTCGAGCTTGCTAGACAGGCTCTCTACTGCTCTACTGCCTCCAGCCCTTTTACTCTGATTATTTTTTGAGATCAGGTCTTGTTTTTTGCTTTGGCTGACTTGGAATTGAGAGCTCCTGAATTGAGCCTCCCATGTAGCTGAGATGACAGGCATGTACCACTGCATCCAGCTATTAGTCTTGTGAACTTTTTTGCCTGGGCTGGCCTTAAAATGTGATCTTCCAATCTCAGCCTTGTAAGTAGCTAGGCATGAGTCTACCATGTCCAGATTTTTTTTTCCAGGTGGGAATCTGCTGCCAGAGTCACAATACAGGTGGCCAAACCTCTGCAATTGCACTCTGCAGGCTGCACCTGGCAGAGCCAAGGCCAGCCTCCAGGCAGGATCTGACACCCAGGAGGGCAGTGCAGGACACAGGGTCACATGTCTCATCTCTCCTTTCTCAGATGATGGTGCCATCAGAGTCTGGAAGAATTTTGCTGATTTGGAAAAGAACCCAGAGATGGTGACTGCATGGCAGGGGCTCTCAGACATGCTGCCAACAACACGAGGTGAGTTTGGGCTCCTTCTAGGAGAAGGAAGTCTGGAGCTGTGGGAGATATGGTTCCAACACCCCTGGGCCGGCTCCCCACAGGCCGCCCCATTCACTTCAGTCCCTGAAATTATCACCCATCTGTCTCACCCAGCAACCATAAGCATGGAAACCTCAGACCTGAGTGTTCTTCTGAGTCTCAGGTGTGGCCCTGAGTTGTGGTCAGTGTCATAGGTGGAACTCCCCAGCCTTTGTCCCTAGTGTAAAGCCAAGTATGGCTTGAAAAATCATTGTCCTGGCCAGGCCGAGTGGCTGGTATCATGTTCTCCTATGCCAAAATGAATGCCCTCCTAGTGACCAGTGTGCAGTGATCTGTGTCTGGACAAAGGAGGCCCCCTTTACTCATAGCTTGCCCAGGCTGAGGACCTGTGGGCTATAGTCTGTGGCTCAGGGCAAAGCTTTGCATGTACCTATATCACCCCACAGTGTGGGGAGGGTGCAGGCGCCTCCAGTGAGTCCTTCTGAAGGCCTCAGGCAGAAGGCTGGAAGAGGACTGGGTCAGGCAATCAAAGTCCAGGTTTCCAGGGGCCCTTGCAGACTGGGGCATTTGCAACATGGAGCAGCTATCCTTCAACACAACCTGCAGTCCTGGTAACTCCAAGTGAAGAGTAGCAGTGGCCCCGCCAGTTATTCTTCTCTGGGCCTGTGCCTTCTGCATCTTGATCCGTGTCTGCTGGACATGGCCTTCTTCCCAGTCACCCATTTCTGTGGGGCCTGCCCTGGCTCCATGATTCTGTTTTTACCAGTGAACTTCCTGTGAGATGGGGCTGCCCAGCCACCTGCCTAGGCAACTCCATTGTGAACATTTCCTCATACATGTAGTTTTTTATTGTAGCCATGGTTTGAAATGTTATTGGGTTGGAGGAAAAACATCCATACCTTACCCCAACACAGCCAAGTCCACATTGCTGGGTCCCCTGGGCAGTTGCAGGCTCCAGCACAGCAACCCCTTCTGTTTTGCTATTTCCCCTGTTAGAGCAAAGGCCTGTCCACCTGCTCCCACTGGTGGCGGTTCTGCTGGAGACCAGGCTCCATGTTTAGGACCCCCAGCAAGTGACCATAGTAGCCCCTGCTACATGGTTTTGCAGGCTGTCACTGCTGTGATTTCCCTCTAGGACACCTGGTAGGTGACTCCTCAGGTTTATTTCATCACAATGATGACCACAGTGTTGTCAGATCTCAGCTTCCCCACAGGGATAGGCCTGGTTGAAGGCAGAGTTGAGCTCACAGAAGGGCAGGGTAGGCAGTGTGGGAACACATCTGAGGATCACTGGTATCACAGTGTTCTTCCTGCACCTGCCCAGCTCACCTGTCGGCCTTGGGATACCTGTGAGTGGTTCTGGGAGGATAGCTTCTCTGTGGTATTTTCCTTTGCTTCTCTCCAGGCAAGAGACACTAAGGAGGGGTAGAAGAAGGAGGGTGATGGGTGTGTTTTGGAGATAACCTAGTTAGGAAGGAAGGAGCCAATGCTATCATGCAGATGGCACAGAGCAGCTACGCTGATTGTCAGCCACCCTCCACTGCCCTGAAAAGGCCCAGAGTATGTGGGAAGATATGTGGAAGATAGCTCCTTGTCCCAGGTGTCCCAGCTCCTGAGTCCCACACCTGGACTTCAGCATGGGTGTTTTACCTCCACCTCTTTCAACCCTTCCACCCCTCTTGAAATCTCTAGGAGAGGCAGTGACATGCCAGCCAGGGCCTCCCATCTGGAGTTCCCAACAGCATAGGTGAGCGAGAGCAGGGCTTGCAGGTATGACTGTCACTGAGAAGGAGTCTGCTTGGTTATGGCCTCTGCCTCTCAGCTGGGAGTGACTGGCTGAGAAAAGAGCTGTCTTGTTCTTCCTTGGGGTTAGAAGATGGGAGGTGAGGGCAGCTTGGGAGGCTGGCTCACAGGAAGGGCTCAAGATGGGGTGAGCTGTATACCACAGGGCCTGGAGGTGACATGGACCCTGGCACAGGGGCCTCCCTGGAAGGAACCTAGCCTACTCAATAAGCACCCTCAGGCCATTTGGCTACAACTTCCCTATGTAGCCAGGAGACCCAGGGAACCACTCTCAGGACTGCCTCTAGCAGGGCCAGAGAAACTTGCTGTAGTTTGTGACCCTCATTCAGGGCTTCCACCTTTCAGGATCTTCCCTCAGGAACCAAAGACAAGTCTGATCTGAACTGCGACCTCTGTACCTACTTCCTGTCCCCTTCTTGAGCACACACATTCTCCTGCCACTGTCCAGTGACCATGTTGGGCTTCTGACATGCCCCTTCAGAGCTCTGGGCCCTGGCCCTATATGGGGAGCAAGTGGAATAGTTCTGGAGTATGACATTGCTGCTACTTTCAGGCATGCAGTTAGCATATGTCGGAGTTTCACCATGGTCTTCCCAGCCAGAGCAAGACCACCACTTCTCTCTCTGAGTCCCCCATAGAGCTTCAAACTCTCCACTACATTCACAGTTGTTTTCAACCTGGCCTATAAGCACTGTGGTAGCTGCAGAATGGTGAGGGGAGGGGGACCTGAAACACCATCATCCTAGGAGCCTACGTTAGCCTACACTCTGCAGAAAGAGGCTCTGTGAAGCCTGGACCACCATCTCCTTCACCTGCATAGGCCTCTGCCAGGTTATCTCCTCCCCAGGGGTGCTTTCTCTGCCTTCTTCACAAGAGGTCAAATCTGGTTTGCACCAAAAAGATGCCAGCCCCTCCTGCCCTTTGGAAGACTTGTGGCATGTGGAATCTGTATATTCTTCCCTCCAGCTCAAGTCCATACACACACAGGGACACACATGCACAAACACATGCACAGATAGGCGGATAGGCGCACATAGGCATCACGGGCACAGCTAGCCTGGAGACACACTTGTCCCCCTTGCGGGCTCTGCATATATCCTTGGGGGAATTGAAGTCCATCCCAGGACAAGGTGTGCTTCGTGTCATGAAACGGAGCTTTCCTGAGACCCCTGTCCTCAAGCCACAATGTGTCAGAATTGCCCATTCCAGGGCCCTGCAGAGCCCCTGCCACCCCCTGGGCTATTGAGTGAGGAGCTGAGGCTGGCTTCTGAGAACCTGGACTGGGTTCAATCCCCAGCATCACCCAAGGAAATAAAATTGAAACATGATTTTTTAAGACAGAACAAACATAGCAAAATGTTAGCAGCCATTAGATCTGGGTAGTTGAGTATAAGGATTTATTTCTTTTGTGTTTTTTTCATGTGTGCTTAAAAATAGTAAACTGAACTGTTTAAATCTTGTTCGGCTGGGGACAAAACTCAGTGGTAGAGTGCCCACCATGCACAAGGCCCTGGGTTCCATTCCCAGCACTTCAAAAAAAAAATTCTCAGCTAAGCACAGTGACTCATGTTTGTAATACCAGCCACTCCGGAGGCAGGGATCAGGTGGATTGAGGTTCAAGAGAGACCCTTTCTAAAGCAAAAAGGGGCTAGGGGTATGGTTCAAGTGGTAGAGCACCTACCTAGCAAGTACCACAGTGCCACGAAAAAAAAGCTGGTTTTAAAAAGAAGACATTATTATGTGAAAGCATAAGTCGCTCCCTGTCTAGTCCCAGATGGAAAGGGTACGCCTTTTCTTTTTTTAAAAAGATGCAGGGTCTCTGTGTTGCACAGGCTGATCTAAAACTCCTAGGCTGAAGCGATTCTCCTGTCTCCACCTCCTGGAGAGCTGAGACAATCATGATGTGCCACTGCCCCTGGTGAGGCAGCCGTTGTTTTATTCTGCCTGTGCACCCATTGTTCTGACCTGGTAATCAGACCCCCAGACCGCCCAGTGCAGCCAGCCCACAGCCTGTGCAGAGCCCTTGGTTTTTCTAAGAGAGCTAGGAACCTACTAGGACCAGTTGTGCCCAGTGTTCTGGAAGACATGTGTCTTGAACTAAAGATCCTGAGGTCATACTGTCTTCTATCAGATATCTTCAGTATAGTCTAGCAGAATTCTGGGGAAGGCTCAGAATTGCTGTACCAGCCTGCACTCAGGGTACCCTGGAAGCCGCAGCCCGAGTTTCTATGAGGGGCATGGATCCCCTGCTAGGTTAAGGGGTTGCTCCTTGGAACTACTGGCTGAGTGCCCAGAACAGTCACCCCCATCCTACCCAGAGCCTGCGGGCTGACACCATGTCCCACTCTGTCTCCCCAGGAGCTGGGATGGTGGTGGACTGGGAGCAAGAAACCGGCCTCCTCATGAGCTCGGGGGATGTGCGGATCGTCCGGATCTGGGACGCGGACCGCGAGACAAAGGTGCAGGTAATCACTGTGGGCCCCTGGGTGGCCCCCTTTGCCCCGTTGTCCCAGGCTCTCCATGCTCCCCTCCACAAAACAGATCTCCAAGACCTGGGTCTCTAGGCCAGGTGTGCTTTGATCACCTCCCAGCCATCTGGGGGAGTGAATGGGAAAGGATGATGCCTTGCTGCCTGGCACAAACCACACACTGCAGCCTCTGGAAACTAATTGCCTCTGCAAGCATATCAATCATGGCACTTTGACCCTGCACTGCAGCATAATTAAGCCTATGCTAATCCTAATTATTTTCAGATATTGTTTTAGCTGTGCAAATTAGGGAATACCAGAAATCAGTGGGGTGAAATATTTTAAATTAGAATGATTAATTATTTGGCTGTGTGCATCTCTTTTTTTTTTTTTTTTTCAGTGCTGGGCATTGAACCCAGGGCCTCATGCATGCTAAGCATGCACTCTGCCACTGAGCTGCACCCCAGTCTTTGAAAGCATCTTTTATTGTCATTTTAACAGAGAGAGAGAGAAAGCACTAGGTTTGCCTAAGACACCTGGGAAAGCAGTAGAAGGCCAGGCAGGCTCCCCAACCAGAGCCCAAGCAAGACCACAGATACAGCAGGGAGAGCACCCAAGGAGCTTTCTGGATGTCCAGAGAGGCACAGAGCAGAGACCTAGCACAGCCTTTCCCTTTCCCGCCCTGCCCCGCTATGTGATGTGGAGGCAGAGGCTGCCTGGCAGCATGAAGGCAGCTCTGCAGTGCTGTGGAACTGAGGTAGGAAGCAGGCATGACTTGAGCTGATGGGGTGTGATGGTTACTGGTGCCTGTTAGAAGTTGTCCTGGTTCCCTTAGGGTAGAGCAGCCCTTCTACTGCCTGGAAGGGGCTGTAACCAGAAGTCACTCCCTCCAACTTACTGTGGCCAGCCTCCCCTATCCTGTCATCACATCCCACAATGGCACCAAACAGCTCAATTTATGCTCCTTCTTGGGGAGCCCTGTACCCACTGGAAACAGAGCTCAATAGGGTTTCCTTCCTGTTCTAAAGGGCACAACGTGGAAATCCTGATACTCAGGAGATGTTCCCAATGGGGTGTAAAGACCTAGTGATGACTCTCAGCACAGTGTCATGACCCATGGGCTTGTCCCATGTCCCGGAGCCGTTGTCTGTGCGGGGGTGCACCTGAGGCTCCTCCTAAGAGGACTAAGGCTCCTAAGAGTCTGGTTGTATCAGGGTGCTGAGGAACAGCAGCCACTCCTTCTCAGGCCTCTGCCTCTCAGACATGGTTCTGTTTCCCATACGTGTGGGTTTCCCCTCAAGCAAGCCCAATGTGGTTGAAGAAGCACCTTTTACCCTCTGGAGGCCCATTTTTTGTTTCCTGCTCTCTCCTGCCAGGCATTCATCACTCCTCCTGCCCTTCGCAGCATTTATGGCCGTCAAGGGAAAGGGAGGCTGCTTCTCGGCTCTTCTTTTGACTAATTAGGGGTTTTAAGAGGGAGTAACGAGGGTTCCTCCCTGCCAAAATGTGCTTCGTCTCTCTTTTCAGGAAAGAGGGAGCTGTTGTGGGAAAGTTTAATTGGCACCGAGAGCCATGTGTCCCCAGAGGTGGCTGCAGGCTGTGCCCGGGCTCAGGCTCGCAGGCTTGCCTGGCCTGGCTGATGGGCACAGGCTCAGAGCAGGTGCTCAGGCAGATCGGGGTGGGCTGAGTACCCTGTGGGGCTTGCCCTGCCTTGGCCCCAGACTTCTCAGACCTTGCAAGGCGAAGGCCAAAGCAGCAGGGAGGGAGATGGAGGTGTCCACAGCAAGCACTGCAGGGCGGCTGCATACCTGCTCCTCACTGCTCTCTGTTTGGCCTAGGACATCCCCACAGGCGCTGACAGCTGCGTGACGAGTCTGTCCTGCGACTCCCATCGCTCTCTCATCGTGGCTGGCCTCGGTGATGGCTCCATCCGTGTCTATGACAGGAGGATGGCGCTCAGTGAATGGTAACTTGCCCACCCTCACCTCCTCAGTGCCACTCAGGGTTCCTTTCAAAAGGCAGGGTGGCCTCTGCCAGTGGACGGGTCCGGATTGCTTCATGAGACAAGAAGCTTGCCCTAGGAATCCACAGTGAAGCACTGAGGCCATTTGGGGTGGACTCAAGGCAGACACGACCCACACAGCCGGTTCTCACTGCCCATGGAGGTGGACAAGCCCCGTAGCATACGCTTGTGGTCTGGGGTCAGGAAAATGGCAGGGAGTCCTGGAGAGGCACCTGCCTTCTCTGCTTTTGTGTCTCTCTTGGACATGAGAATGCTGTCATTGCTATACCTGGGCTGTGTGCATGAGCACCCAGGGAGGCTGGGCACACATGTGGTAACATTGAGCAAGGGTTGAGTCCATGTGTCTCTTAAATACCCAGCATGCCTGGAAAGCAGGCCTGACACAGATGGAGGGGCAGGCAGACCAGCCACATACAGAGCCTCCACAAACTATAGGAACCTCAGAAGAGGGGCAGTAGGACAGATTTCAGCTGGGACACAAACTTAAGCATCAGGGGACACCAGCTCCTGGGGATGGGAGGGGAAGCAGGACCTGAGGCTCGGGCAGCAAGGGCAGCTGTGGGCTCCATGCCACCCTCTGCCACAGAGCAACCTTGGTCATATGTCCCCTTCACAGGACCATCCCCTGCCTTAATGATGGGGACCCACCCTCCAAAAGCATCTGTCATGGGGCATGCAAAGAGTTTCTTTGAGGGTAATGAAAATGTTCTAAAATCAGGTAGAGGTCGCAGCTGTATGAGTCACTGAAATCCACTGACGTGTACACTTTCTTGCCTTGTGCTTGCTAGGCGAGCACTCTACCACTTAAGCCATGCCTCTAGCATGAAGTATACACTTTCATAGGGTGGGATTCATGGTCTATCATCCTTTATCTCCCAATTAAACCTAGGCAGGCAGGAAACTTGAGAATTGATCCCACAAAGGGCCGAAGGATCTTGTAGTAGCCCTGGGGTCCCCAAGTAGTTATTGTGGCCATGCATCCTCACCCAACAGAAGGGATCCTTGCTACCCACTGGCCTGGTGGCAGTGCTTGCCTTCTCAGACAGAGCCATCAAAGTTTACCACACAGAGACAGAGCTGTCTGCCTGCAGAGCTGCTCTGGGGTGATGGGCAGATGAGGTACTCCAAGACAGGTATCAGTGGGCCCTCCTCCCTCCAAAATCTGGTGCCCTAGACTCAAAAGTCAGCAATGGGGAAACTGAAGCTGGACGCAAGGAAACCAGAGTTTCTGTCACAGTGCAGCCCAGTGCAGCTCTGCTGGTAGCTCAGTCCTGTGTGACCTCTAGAGCCTGCCGTGTGCCAGGGCCATCGTAGTCACCCAGCCTGTCCTTCCCTTCTTCTAGCCTCCCTGTACCTGCCCCACACCTGTCCCCCTATCCCTGAGTAGCTTGGAAAGAGGAGTTGGGCCAGGCTCTCCCCTGACCACACCATCCCTTCCAGCCGCGTGATGACCTACCGGGAGCACACGGCCTGGGTAGTGAAGGCATACCTGCAGAAGCACCCCGAAGGCCACATCGTGAGCGTGAGGTAAGGGGTGAAGCATGCACAAGACATGCGTTGTAAAACTGTTACTTCCTTCCATTTAAATATGTCTTGGGTATTTAGCCAACCGGGGAGCATTGGCATTTCCAAGTAATTGACTCTGGCTCCAACACTGGACAGAAAGGTCAGGGTGCCATGGAGAGGGCAGCGCAGAGACCTGCCTGCCTTAAAGCTCTGGACTGGGGTGGGAGCAGATGTGGTCAGAATGACAGGTGCACCCCCACACACAGGCAGCAGGGCTGCCAGGGCCAGTGCTGCTGGCCGTACATGGCTGAACAGGCCAGCCTTGCCTACACATGAACTCAGTTCTGCTGTGCAGTAAATACCGTGCTGAAAGCAGCGAGTATTTATTTTCCTGTTAAAGGGACGACAAAATGAAATTTACTGTCACAAAGCCACCATTTCTTTAAAGAGTTGCTCCTTCCCCCCTTGTTTGTAATATAAAAATAAAACATAACTCTTAGAATGAACATCAAAGGCAGGAGGCCATAGCCTCAGGGAGGTGACCTGGACTCCCTGTGGGGCTCTTTCTTTTCCCACCCTGGGCTCCTGCTGCACAACATCTAATCTCTGTGACCAGAAGCAAACCACATACTCCTCACCTTGCTCGTGGCTGGTTCTCCAGACCTTGGGTGGGGTGTCTGGCTTTGTGGCAACATCACATGTGGCCTCTTCTGGCTAAGGAGGGGAAGGCTTGTCAGGGCCTGGCCATCAGGACCAGGGGGATGGGGACCCATGGGCACCACTGGGAAGCCTCAGTGATGGTCCTGGGGGTCCAGGCAGCTTTGGCCTTGATCAGCAAATGGGTATCAGACTCCCCCCAACCACTGCTAACAATCCCTCAAGGGGCTCTGGGTGGAATACCCCAGGCCCTGTGTCAAGGCCCACAGGCATCACTGTGGCCTCTCTTGTAGCGTCAATGGAGATGTGCGCTTCTTCGACCCTCGGATGCCTGAGTCTGTGAATGTGCTGCAGATCGTGAAGGGGCTGACGGCTCTGGACATCCACCCCCAGGCAAACCTCATCGCATGGTATGTGCCTTGTCACCTGTAGCCCCTCTCCTGCAGACCCAGACCCTCCCAGGCCAGCACCCCTGGCATGCTCTGCACCTTCCTTGATGCCTCTCAGAGGAAACATGCTGGAGGTTTTAATAGCAAGAGCCCTCTTCCCTGCCACACGCCCCTCCTGGAGTAAACTCTTGGGACCCCTCAAGGCATTGCTAGGGATGGAATCCTAGTTCTCAGGTGAGGGAAACGAGATGAGTCACCATTCCCTACCTCAGGACGCAGTTGACCTTCTGACCCATCCCTGGTCATCTGCCCTTTGGCCCATCTTTCCTGTTCTTCCTTCCCTCCTCCTGCCTGCAGCGGCTCCATGAACCAGTTCACTGCCATCTACAACGGGAACGGCGAGCTGATCAACAACATCAAATACTATGATGGCTTCATGGGCCAGCGAGTCGGAGCCATCAGCTGCTTGGCCTTCCATCCACACTGGGTCTGTGCCCTCACTCTGAGGTTGGGGGGTAGAGGGCAAGTGGGCTGCTAGCAGTTGTGAGCAGGTAGGGCTGCCTAGGTGACCCAAGCACCCTGGGCCCTCCTCCCCATCTCCATCTGCTCAGGGACCCTAGTCATTGATACTCAGGAAAGAATAGGCAGCACCAAGGGCAGAGCAGTCAGTGTCCTTTGACCCCTGCACTCACACCCTCCCCAGGGAAGCCTTGAATTTTGGGTACCCCCTTCCGCCCTGGTGAGGGATCAGCACATCAGTTGTCACTCAGCACCTGTCCTGTGTCACACAGCCCAGGGTGTAGACTTTGTATTTAAATTGGGATTCTGCCAGCCTGCCTTCTCACAGCATGGGGGCTCCTTGGGAGCCTGTGTGCAGCTCTGTCGAAACACATGACATTGGATTCCCAGAACTGTCCCAGTGGGGTAATCCTGCCAGAAGCCGCAGGGAACTGTGGGTAGTATGCAAATTGCCTATAATGGAGTTTAGATGATGCATCATCCCTGCAAGAAACCAGCACTAATGGGCCATCCTCTCTGTGCCTGTGTGGAGTGTATAGGTGGGTGGAGGTTAATGGCACCCAGGCTGGAACTGGGCGCACAGCAACAGCAGCAGCCTGTACCCCTTGCCCAGCCCCTGCTCAGCAGCTCCACCCACAGCCTGTGGCCAGGGTCCTGCTCTCACTCTCATCTGCTCTCTCCCCTTGCAGCCTCATCTGGCGGTGGGAAGCAATGACTACTACATCTCTGTGTACTCGGTGGAGAAGCGCGTCAGATAGCGGCGTGGGGCTGGGCCAGATGGTGGCCTCCCTCCGGTGTACATAGTGACCACCACTCGCCCTAGGTCCAGTGCCTGCAGTGGGAGCCTCGGCTCCTGACTTGGCCACTGCTGAGGGGCCTGCACTTTCTTTCTTCCTGTCTTCGCAATACTGTCTACAAAGTCCAGGGAAGGGGAGGGCTTTGGTTTGACATTGCTTCTTGCCCAGAACCAGCACCCAGGCACTGAGGACCTCACAGGGCATCACAGTGTGTCATGGTCCCTTTCCTGTCCTGTTTTTCTTCTGAGGTTTTTCAAGGGGACACGTTTGTTTTATTTCCTTGTGATCAGAACATTAGTCCTGGCAGAGAAGCCAGACTGGGGCTCCTGCAGGCTCTGGGGTGGCTGTCCCCATCGGACCCTGGCCCAGTCCCACTGTCCTCTCAAAGTGTGAGCCAGGAATCCCTCAGAGCAAGCTGGACAACACTGGAGATGCGAGAGAACAAGGAGAGGAAAGCAAGTCGTCACCTGCAGCCAGCAGGTGTGGAGGGAAGCTGCTGGAGCCCAACCCTCCTGGAGCTCCTGGGGCTGCTCAGCCCACCCAACCCCCTCTGCTGGGTATGTCATGGTGTTATGAGGAAAGGGGGCCACCCTCCTGCACAGCCAGACCTTGGGGCTCCAGTGTGGGCCCTTCTCACATTAAGCTCTTTGGGGAGGGAGCCCTGGGCTCTGGACAGAAGAGACAGGTTTATGGCGAATCAGCTGCCACCTCACTCCAGGCTCTTCCTACAGGATAGCAGCAGTGGCCCTGGCCCCTTCTCCCTGCTGTGCTACACATAGGTGCACACATGCACATGTGGGTGCCTGGTCTTCCTGCTTGTGCACACATAGGTGCACATACACTACAGGCACCATGTTCTCCCTGCCTGTGCTGTACACTTATCACACACAGATGCAAAGGCTCTGTTGGACCCCAGAGGGTCTGTGTAGTGACAGCCCATTGCACTGGTGTGGCTGAGCCTCACATCATGCAGTCTGTAATGCAGAAGAGCTGCTCGGTGGTCACGCTAGTGTGTGACGTGTGTGTGTGTGTGTGTGTGTGTGTGCGTGTGCACGCGCGCGTGCGCGCACACACTCAGGGCAAGTCAGGGAGCTGAGTGGACAAGTTAGTCCTGAGGAGGAGTGCAGAGGATTGCTGAGCAGTTGCACACAAACAAAACACAACCACAATGATGGGATTTTGAAAAGCATTTTTTCCATTTTCCTTGGGAATCAGGATCTTTAAGTGGTGGAGAAGTGAGGTGGCTTCATTGATTGTGCCAATAGGAGCCAGTAATGGTGGGAGTGTAAATCGGAGTCAGGACAGAAAGACAAGGTCCCTGGTGCTGTGGACGATGTTTATGTTTTGGCCAAGAGCATCTTGTAGGTAGATGGAACCCTGCAGGCAATGTCAGGCTGACTCCAGAGCCAGATGGGGCCAGATGGGGTAGGACAGAGAGGGAGATCCCTGTGCCACCCTAGAAAGCGTGCTCCCATCAGAAGGAGACTCAGAATGAGTCCCAGCCCCTCAACTGGGTGAGCAAGCAGCCTAGAGTAAGTCCCAACTTCCCAGGAGTCCACCTGCTCAGCTCTGCAGGTGTTCCACAGGTGACTCCAGAAGCTGAGCTCCGCCACGGACACAGACTCAGGGTGGTTCCACTCAGTTTCATACTAACTTGTGTTCCTGTTTGTTTTGAGACAAAACCATCACTGGCAAAGTGCAGATGGCTCCGGGGGCCAGACCTTCCCTCCCCAGCCAAAGTCCCTGCAAGTCATGCACACTGGGCCACTAGTGGGCCGGGTCCTCAAGGTCTGACGCGAAAATTCAATCATGAAGTTAACTGAGGCTCGAGAGAGCGTTGACCTAGAGTTCATTATCTCTATTTATTTTACCAAAATGAGAATTAAAAAAGACTGACAAAACATGGACTTGTAATGTGAAGCTCAGAGCAGTAACAAATAGCAAACTGTTAATAAAGAATAGAGAAATACAGAAGTGACCAGTGTTCGCCCCTTTGGCCTAGGGCTCGCTGAGGGCTGCCCTCAAGGCCCCTAGAGGCCACAGCTGCAAGGCTTAGAGGCCTATGAGACACTGAGAGGACTAGGTCCTGATGTGCCATGTGCTGCCATGGCTCCTACCTGCTGGAGCCTGCTGGTGTGATGCTAGCCAGTGTGTCCTGTGTTTCTCTTGGTTCCCCGGGGCTGCCTCTGGCCACAAGTGGCTGATCTAGTGCTGTGGTGGGCAAGGGTAACTGTGACTAAATTCCCTGGGGAGGGCAACTGCTTCAGGCCTTCCAAGCCCAGACCCTCCAAGCCCTGGCCAGAAGGGAGGGCAGACAATTACCATGGAAACCTGAAGTCCTCCTGGCTGGGATTCCCATGCCAAATCCTAACTTGCGTTATACAAGAAGGCTGCCCAGCATTCACACAGGCGGGCCGGCCAGCTTTGGTTGAGCATACTATTTTTCCTGTTAGCATCATTTTCTGTTGTCGGCACAGCCTGAACACAAATTGAGTGCTCCTGCAGATGGGGGTGGGGTGGCTGTGTGGCCGTGAGGGGCCAGGCTGCATGCTAGCTGTGGACATGTGCCCAAAAGAAGGCCCAGTACCACCTCAAGAACCAATGCCTTGCCTTGGGGTGAGAGGCCAAAGACAGCTGTCCTGAAGAAAGAGCTTCCTCTGGGGCTGCCTCTGTGGGGTCTCCACATCGGCATCCCACACATGACTGGCATCTGTCTACATCCTCTTCCTGGGCTTTTGGCAGATGGTCCCCGGGGAAGGCCAGGGGAGGTGGGCCTTGGGTCATTCTGATTTAGTCACTGGATTGTTCAGGGGCTTACATGTCCCCAGAAGTGAGACAGCACCTAGCGTCAGGAGACCAAGGGCAAATGAAGGAAAAGAGGGAGCTGGTGCTATGGGGCTGAGCTGTGTCTCCCAAATCCTCACGCTGCCGCCCTAGCCCCAGCTCCTCAGAACATAACCGCACTAGGAGACAGGGTCTTTCCCAAGTCCAGCGGGTCAAACCACAGTCATGGCGGCCCTAATTCCATCTATGTCCTTATGAGAAGAGCACAGGACACAGGGTCTGCCACGTGAGAACATGGAGGAGATACCATCTGCACACCAAGGAAGGGCCCCAGGAGGAACCAGCCCTAGTAAAACCCTGATCTCAGACTTCAGCCCTCCAGAACCATGGGAGGACAGGCAGTCATTGGAGCTGCTGATTGATGATGACTGGCTGCAGTGGCCCTGGGACACTAGAACCACTGTTATCTCCAGACTGGCTCCCTGCCCATCTCCTCATCTTAACACGGGGCAGTATTTCCAGGAATCCTATTCACCTGGAGCCTCCAAAACAGCACAGGCATCAGGGACATACCAGTAGACCTGGTGTGTGTGGTCACCAAAGGTCTTCCCAGCCATAGAGGAGTCTTCCCTTTAGTGCAACTGAGCACAGGAGAGGAGCAGCCTGGCCTGGACCCATGTCACCTGGGCCCCTCCCACCTGGGGCCATGCCTGTGGCTCCCTTGCTGGGAGAAAGAGCACTCCACTCACTGCCACCGACTTCCCATGGCCCTCCCTCTTCAGTGGGCCCTCAGACACCACTGCTGTGCTCACCTTGCCTCACCCCACTTCCTCCATTTTTGAGAAGGACCCTCACCCAGCTGCACTGCCCTCCCACCTCAGTCCCTCCTAAACCCCACGTTCCAAGCTCTGCTCCATCATCTCAGTGGGCAGCTATATCCCCAAGCCTCCAAGGCTGAGACACCATGGGCACAGGCTCCTCTGACCCGAGCCCAGGACTCCTCCACTCACTGTGAGGATGAGGAGGCAGGACAGGACCGACACATGCATCATGGGACACTGTGGCATTGGTGAACAGGACCAAGCGCTGCAGGTACCTCCCTGCTCGTGCAGTGGGTCAGGGGCTCTCTGGACAGCAGTGCTGGGAAGGGGGTTTTCCATTCCCAGGCCTGGAGACATGTTCGTGTCAGTTACCCGTGTTCTCAGCATACCAGATAGCTCACACACTCCATACTCCTCCCCTGCGAAGCTGCACAGCCTCCCCCATCATCCATGTTGTTCCTGAGGCCCCTGACTCCGAAACACAGCCCATCCTCTGGCCCTGGGCCATCCTAGGGTGGCAGGAAAAATGTTCCCTCCCTACCCCCCCCAGGCCTTTTTTGCTCCCTCCCTGGTATGGTCAGGGCTGCACTGTCTGCCAAACAGCCTAAGGCCCCAGGGACAACTTTCAGGGGCCACAGAAGTTAACAGGGCCCCAAGGCCAGGCCACTCACCATGTAGGGTTCCCACCTCCAGAGAAGAGACTGTCCTCCAGCCAGCAATGGCCACCAAGCCCAACACAGCAACTTTTCAGGCCACACAGGCCTCCCAGGAGGAGTTCAGTAGCATTGGGAAGCAGGTGCCATTCAGATGCAACCAGGAAGGTTGCCCACCCCAAGGACTCCCACTCAGATCCCACAACCAAACAAGGCCAACAAAACCATGGCATATATGCAGGGAAGAGCAGGCCTTCTTTGGCCTGCTGGCTATCCTAGGCTAAAAGGCAGGTCCCCTGAGCCAGGTGGAGGGTTGGGAGTCTCAACCCTAGGTGCTCAGGGGGCACTGGCTGTAGAGAGAACTGCAGCCTCTGACCTCGGGCTGCCGGCAGCAGGGAACAGGGACTTCCTACATGTCTCTGAGCAGTCCCTGGCAAGGAGGGGTGAGACTCATCTCTGGGCAGGGAGAGGCCTAGAGTTACCCTCGCTCCCCTCCCCACCCAGCCCCTGACTTTCCCCTTCTCACCGAGAATAGGCTTCCAAGCTGTGTCCCCCACCACTTGGCAGCTGGTGAGCCAGTTCCTACAGCTGGAGCTTCATCCCTCCTTGAGGAGGACGAGGCCTCAAGAAGTGGCTGTGCCTGCACCCGTCACATTGAGGATGGACAAAGACCAGCGTCCAGAATTCAGGGTGAGCCAAGAGTAGGACACATTGATTCACCAACCCAATCACTAGAGAAGCAAAGGCAATGATGAGGAGTGGGGACAGGCCACCATCTGTGCATGGAGCAGAGGCTCAGTGGGCATGAGCTCCAGGCCAGCAGCCGACCACATGGGAGACAGCCCAAGAGCTCCTAGAGAGGCCCCCCAACTCTAGACGGAAGGGGCTGGGAGCATGGCTGGATAGAGGAGAGGGAGGCCCAGAGCCTGGCTTGTCCCCAGCTGTGTAGCATGACCTGCCCTGTAAGATGAAGGTTCTGTGGGCTAAGACAGCACTGAACCCGGCTTCCTCCCTAACTGCAAGTCCAAGTTGAGGCTCTTCCATGCAATCCAGCACTATGAGAAAGCTCCTGTCATGTGCAGGACCCATCCCATGGCCTGTTGAGGGGAGGCCAATGGCACACACCTCAGGCTCTACAGGAAAGGTGAGAGACCAGCAACAAGTCCAGCCAAAGGCAAATTGAAAGCCTCATGAGCTTTTGTTTTTGTGTTTTGCTATTTAACAAAACTTTGGACTGGGGAAGAAAAAAAAAAGAATCTGAAAAGGAAATTAAGAAGTCAATTCCATGTAAAATATGCAAAGGAATAAAGTTCCCAGGGATAAATTTAACAGGGGAGGTGAATGATTTGAACACTGAAAACCACAAAACATGGTTGAAAGTCGCCTGGGGACCTGAGTCAACAGAAGACCCGATACTAACATCCTCCAAAATGACCTTCAGATTCAACACAGTCCTCAGAAAGATTGCCATGGTGGGTTTTTCTTCTTGTTTTGTTTTTTGCAGAAATAGAAAAAAAAAAAAAAACAATCCTCAAATTCAGATGGAACTACAAGGGACCCCAAACAGCCAGAACAGTGTTGAAAAAAGTATTCACCCTTCTCAATTTCAAAACTTAACTACAAAGCTGCAGTAGTCAAAACACAGTACTGGCATCAGGACAAAGTTACAGGCTGATGGAACCGAATAGAGAGGGCAGAGCTAAACCCAAGGACCTGCAATGAGCTGATTTCTGGCAAGAGCGGCAAGACTGGTGGGTAGAGAAGAGTCTTCAAATGGTGCTCAGACAGTCGGACACATGCAAAAGGATGAAGTTGGACTCCTACCTCATACCATAGATGACAGCTAACTTGAAATATTAGAGCTGAAATTACACAGCACGAAAAATAGGGGTAAATTTTCATGACCTGCAATTAGCAATGGATTCTTACATTTGATACCAAAAGCATATGCAACAAAAGAAAAAAATGACAACTTTTGCGTGTCAAAGGACATTATCAAGAATGTAAAAAAGACAGCTGGCCCCAGACTCGAAGTTATACACTGTATGATTCTTTTATGAGACAAGTCCAGAATAGCTAAGTCCATGGAGAGGAGAGCAGCGCTTACCCACCAGGACAGGGGATGGGAATGCAAAGTGGCTACACTGGGTGCAGGGTGCCTTTTGGGAGGTGATGAAAATGTTGGGAAGCCAGAGAGGGATGGAAGTCCTGCAGCACCATGAAGACTAAATGCCATGGAACTGTGTGATTTGAAGCTGCTAACTGCATGTGACATGAGGTTCAGTCCAGATTTTTTTAATTAACAAACTGATGCCAGAGCCCGTGGCTCCAGGCAGGTCCAGTCCATCTGGGTTTGAGGGAGCTGTTTCGCTCTTACATCAGCACAAGCTAAGAGGGAGGTGGGCATGCCAGACTTGAAGGTTTCAACGTTGTGTCCCTAGAAGTCATGTCAAGGCCACTTCCAGTGGGACAGTAGTAGGAGCAGGCCTGCAGGGTGATCAGGTCATGGGTGGGGGGCCTCCACCCTGGCAAATGGGGCTAAGCCCTTACAGAAGACCACACAGTGTAACCCTCTGCCTTCCACCCTGAGAGGACACAGCATTCAAGCTGCCATCTTAGAGGCAGAGTCTGGCCCCTCACCAGACAGACACTAACTCACAGACACCTTGATCTTCAACTTCCCAGCCTCCAGAACTGTGAGAAATACATGTCCATTATTTATAAATTACATATATTTATTTATGAATTATAAACTTAATAGCAGCAGGCACAGACTAAGACACAAGAATTTGCCAGGGACAATCAGGGGCACAGTCCAGTCCCAGAGTATCACAGACCTGTGCCCTGGGGGGCACAAAGCCAGCAGCTTGGGTCCAGGCCCTGAGCCTTGGGTCCTTGGCTCTGGAGGAAGTCACCCTGTGAGCAGCCCTGGGGATTGGCCACTTAGCCAGGAAAGGAGGCCCCTGCCCACGGCCGTGTGAATGAGCCGGAGCTGATCCTCCAAGACTGACCACACTTGACAGCTACACCATCCAAGTTCTGAGCTGGGGCGGACAGAAGCACTGGTGTCCATTCTCTGTCACTGTGTCTTAAAGCCATAGCCTCCCACAACGTGAGGGTCAGGAGTCCAGAAGTGCCTTGGCTGGGCAGTTCTCACCTGAGTTCCCCGACATGATGGCTGTCAGCTGTTTGAAAGATGGAGGCCACTGTGTTTTGAAGGATCCAACCTCAACTGATGCAACATGGGAGGGGACTTCAGAGTGGACTGCCCGACACAGTGACTCTCCCTGGCCCCTGGCCCCTGGCCCCCACCTTCTCAGCCCTCTCCCCTACCCTCCCCAGACATCCCAGCCTGCATCCTTCCCAAGCTCCAGAGCACAGCCACAGCACAAGGCAAAAGTCAGCTCCTTCCACTGCAGGGGCCCACGCCAGAACCCCTGGAGCCTCCTCCCCATTCTTCCACCCCTCAGCTGCCCACTGCCTGCTGTGGAAATCCTAGCTCTACCACAGGCAACTGCTCTGTGCCTCTGTTTCCCAGGGGTCCTTACAGACTGGTGTGGTCCCTGCTGTGTTAGCCAAGGTTTTCTCCTTAACTGCACCCCTTCCCACCCAGAAGTGCGCCCAAAGGCTGTGTCATCCTGATGCCCCGTCCCCTCCAGGCCAGCAAATCCCAACCGCCACCTCCGCTCCATCCACCCATGATGCCCCATTCCATTTCCAGCACAGCCCCTCAGCCTGTCCACCTAGGACCTGCCCTGCCCCTGGACTGCGGTCACATGGCTGCAGTAAGGAGCTGACCAGCCACTAAGCCAGTCTGTCCTCCCACACTCGCACTGTTCCTGACCACTAACCCAGCATCCCTCATCACCCATCACATCACCCTGTGTCCTGCTGGGTGCAAACCCCACACTGGGACCAAGCTCTCAGAGCAGGGTCACCCATGGTAGGTGTTGAATGAGTCAGTGAGTGAGGGAATGTGGAGGTCGTTGATAAATGAATGCGTGAATGAGCGAGTGAGTGAGTGAACACGCCCTTGGTG